TGTCTGATTTCCTGTTCATCTTGAGCTCTGTTGTAAATTCCTCATACGTAAATCCCACTGCTTCACTCGGAAATCTAAAGCATTTCAAACTGAATGTGTTCAGGTGGTGTTCTAGATTTTATCAACAAAACTTTGCCTTTTCTATCATCCCCCATGAAAGTACGTAAGAAACTCATGGTATAAATCTAAAAATCATTAGAACAATTTCATGGTTTAGTATTTAAATACATATATTTAATTTTAAAGTAGAATTACATAATTTCTCCCCTTCTTTTCCCTCCACTCTGCCCATTCCATGTATTCCTTCCTCACACCCTCTCAAATTCATGGCTTTGTTTTTTTCATTGTTGTATTGTCTGTCCATCTGTTGTATCTGATTATTATTGCTTTTAGGTATACAATTTCAGGAATGATTACTTTGAATTGGATAATTGATTTGGTGGCTCATCCTTGGAAGAGACTAATTCTCCTTACAGCACTTGTTAGTTGACTGTAGTTCTTTGTGGGAGTGGGGCCCAGTGAGATTAGCCTCCTCTGTGATAAAATGTCCATTGGTGTTGTCGCTGTTTTGTCCTGTTTAGGCAGTCATATTGTTGAGGTCTCACGGGTGCAACCTCCCTGTCAATTCTAGAGTACAACACCTCACAGCAAACTTCCTTGTCTTCCAGCTCTGACAATCTCCCACATTGTTGCAGGTTATTTGAACTGTGAAACCCGAGATTACCTTCTTTACTGGAAAAACTTATTTCTAGTTGTGGCGTGGCTCAGCCCAACATACACCTTTAATCTAAGAGTTTTCTGCTTGAATTTTGTAAACAGGATCAAATAAAATCAACCATGGGTCAGGAGCAAGCAAGAAACCAGTTGACAGGAAAAAAACATAAAGAATAACAGGGAATCAGGAGGATGGGTAGAGAGACACACAGGAAGTAGAAGGGAGGGACAGTCTATTTGAGGCATTTTGTTTGAGATCGCATAGAAGAAAGGCTTTGGGGGAACATTGGCTGAGGAAGAAGGTCAACTGGGTGCTTTCACTACCTCTCTGAGCTAGCTGGTTTTCACCCCAGCATCTGACTCATGAGGCTCTATTGGTAAAATCAAATGATTGGGATTTTTGTTAAAAACACCATCACTACTTCTGTGATTTTCTCTGAGCCTTAAGTGCAGGAGCTGTGTTGTAGATAGTCATGAAATCTGGAAACCCCACAAGTTCTTTCTGTTTTTACCAGCTGTGTTTTATAATAGTCTCATGATCTCTGTCTTCTGCAAGAGGACCTGTTTTGTGAGGGGTGAGAGCTAAGGATAAGTATTTCCCTTCCATCCTCTTCAAGTACTCCAATTCCACAGGAAGCAGAGGTGAGATAGAGAAATTTGTTAGAAATATTTTTGCCTTGTCTCTACAAAACAAATCTTTCTCAAGCTGAAGGAACATGATTATCTATAGTGATCTATGAAGTTATAGTTTATGAGCTTCCAGTACTAGCTATGTCTACAAATCAGATATCCCATTTCTGTCTGCATTTCCTTTTCTTGATCAGTCAGAGTTTCTTCTTGACGCTTAATTTGTTAAAACATTCTGAGTCTGAGCTCTGGTTTGCCATTCTGCTATCCTTATGTATGACTTTTTTGTTTTGTTTTTGAAGCTGAATGACATTACCCAGTCTTAAGGGCCTCAAACTTGTTATCCCCCAGTCTCAGTCTTCTGAGTACTGGTATAAAGGGTATGTGACACCATGTCTCGTTATATATTAGCTTTTGAAAAGTTCTCTTAGTAACTAGATTCTGATCTCTCACACAAATGGAAGATTCTGTGCACAGTACTGTGGGTGAGGAGTCACCTCCAGTCTTATCCAGATGTGAACCCTGGGAAGATATGCCCAGTGGTGCAATAGTTGCATGATGCTATGGGAGTAACCAACCACTTTCTGATTGGATTTAAAGCCTATTCCACAAGATAGAACATATGACTGGTAGTATTAACAGGGTCCCAAGTTCATGGCTGGTTAAGTCATAGGCCCTGGGGGGAAATCCTGGCACTGTTATTCTACTAAAAAGACATAGTAATTAATGACCTCCTAGATTCTACCTTTGTATCTATAGATTAGTGCATCTTTCAACTCTCCTCAGAGGCAGGTCTTTTTTACGGTTGGTGGTGAGGTTAGAGACCCTCAAGTGGTCAGCATGCTGAGAATAGGAAACTGTGGAGTGCTCAGCTCCATTTAGGGACATCTGCATCTCATGTCACCTTCCCCCAAGGCCCATGGATCATCACAGAAGAGGAGGCAGAAGATGGCAAGAGGCAGACAGAGGGAATGATGTCTGTAGTTAAACAGTATTTTCTAGACATGACAGTGCTGTTGTTCACATGAACTCAACAGTTGGGATTGCATGCACAAGGTGTTCATAAGACCAGACCTACCAAAATCCCAGCAGGGAGTCCTATCCCTTGATATTGACAGTTAAGGGTTACGGGGAGAGGGAGAGTCACTTTCCTTTAGTGATGTGGTCTGAGAGGCTACTCACGCTCTAGTAGATGGTACCACACCCATGCACACACAGGCAGCACCAAATGTATTCATTAGTTATTAAAGTGAGAAGGGTTGATAGGGGAAAGTGTGTGTGTGTGTGTGTGTGTGTGTGTGTGTGTGCAACAGCAGCACGAACAGATACGAATAAGAGAAATAATATGCTAGCTGACTATCTGACAGATGATTAATATCCAGGATATATGAAGAACTCAAAAACTAAAACATTAAAAAGCAAACCATACAGGCAATATATGGGCAAATGAAATAAAGTTTCCAATGGCCAATAAATACATGAGATGGTCAACATCCTGCACCATTATAGAAATGAAAATTAAAGTAGTGATGAGAAGCCTGAAATGACAGCACACACCTTTAATCCCATCATAGGGGAGGCAGAGGCCTCTCTGTGAGTTCGAGGCCAGCCTTGTTGCAGGGAGAGGGCTGTTTGTTTGTCCTGGCTACCCAGCCCCAAAATAATCACACAGGAACTGTATTAATTAAATCACTGCTTGGCCCATTAGCTCTAGCTTCTTACTGGCTGACTCCTACATCCTTATTTAATCTATTTCTGTCAATCTGTATATCATCATGAGGTCATGGCCTACCGTCAAAGTCCCAGCATGTCTATCTCTGGTGGTGAATCCATGGTGTCTCCCCTACTCTGCCTTTCTTCCTCCCTGCCCAGTTCTGTCTTCCCTGCCTACCTAAGTTCTGCCCTATCAACTAAGCCAAGGCAGTTTGTTTATTCACCAATTAAAGCAACACAAAGACAGAAGGATCTCCTACACCACAGCCTGGTCTACAGAGTGAATTCCTGGATAGCCAGAGATACATAGTGAGACCCTGTCTCAGAACAAAACAACCAAACAGAAAGCAGTACTGAGATCCCACCTCAATGGCTTCCTCTATGAAACAAATGTTGACAACGATGTGCGGGAAGGGGAACCATAAACATTGCTGGTAGGAATGTAACCTAGTGTAGCTACGGTGAAAATCTGCATGCATAGCCCTCAGAAATTAAAAATAGCGCTACCACACGCCAAAGCTAGCCACCCTACCACTCACTTCCATCCACACGATGTTTACTTTTGTTTAATTTCAAAGAAGTGCATTTAAAAATTTATGACACAATAGAAGTCAGGGTGTTCAGAGCCTGAGCATTTGGGAAGCCGGAATCTATGTCTGGGGGCATTTACACCTCGAATCCAGGAAGCCAGAATCTGTCTGAGGCATTTACACCGCTCTCCTCGCGTTAGTATCCAGTACCACATTAACAGGAAGTCTAGCTTGTCTTTACAGTAACAGAACACAGGGGCACATATGTTAGCGTCTTATGTAACTTGATCCTCTAAAATAGCTGGTATATTTGTATTACATTTCTCTTCAAACATCTTATGAAGCTTATATAATTTCTTCCATATGTGTGTGTGTGTACAATAAAGTCAATAATATCTTTAGAAATTTCCAGCTCCTTTTGAAAAAAAATAAATTTGAAAATAGGAATGAATTTGTATGAACCCCAGCCACCTTACAAAAAGAGCAGTTCAAAAAGGATTCTGCGTAGGTTTTACATGTAACTCCCACAGAACGGCAATTTCTCTCTTTCTTCCATGCAAGTACATAAGTTTGTCACTTCTCTATAAGCTTCTTCTTGAGATTCAGTTATTTTCATTTAAGTATGTGTGGGTGTTTTGCTGGCATGCATGTCTTGTGCATTGTGTATGTGCAGTGCCTTCAGCGGTCAGAAGAGGGCAGCAGATCTCCTGAAACTGGAGTTAGGGTTTGGGTTAGTTACCATGTTGGCACCAGGAATGGAACCTGAGTCCTCTAAAAAGGCAGTCCACCCTCTTAACTGCTGACCTAGCTTTCCAGTCCCTGCATTTTATTTATCTTGCCATCGTGAGACCAAGTCATTACAAGCTCAATAGAGGCCAAAGTCTCAGTACTAAGGCAATACCTGGTTCCAAGAAAGACCACAAACTGAGACTACCCAGGAACAGACCATTCAAAGGAAATTCCTAACATTCCAACCACTGTAGATAGGATCACCTGCCACCCCTAGACAAATGCCAGCCAATCAGGGGTTCTGAACCTTAGAAATATCTCGCTCCCCACTTTTGCTACTATGAAAACACAACCCTAAGTGAACTCTCCTATCACTCCAATACACTGGACACACGGAGAGTTTGCGTTTGCAAACTTGGGTAAGAATAAAGGTTCTTTGCTTTTCCACACAGGACTTACTCTCCTAGTTGGTTTTAGGGGGACTCCGTGATCTAGGCATAACAGCCATTTTCTTTGAGTCATTCTAAGGCAAAATAAATAAACAATAAACTAATAAGATTAAGATGAGCATTTTTCTAGTTAAATCAATTCTTCGAGAACTGTGTAGAGTGGTGCAGTCTTCAAGAGTTTATAGAGGTGTACGCGTCCTCTGTGGAGCGGCTCGGCTGCAGCTGCGGGTGAGGTGGATATCGTGGGCTGTGCCGCAGGAACGTAGGGCCCGGGAGGCCTGGGACGCAGCCAGGAGAAAAAAATGTCAGTCCTCACTTCTCCCAGAGGGAAGGTAGAAGTGGTTCATTGTCCAAGAACAGAATCCCAGGATATCTTTTGTATCAAAAGCCTCATTAGAAAATTTACTCAGAAGCTCTTTGGGAGGATAAATATCATCTATCTTCTAGAAAAGGCAAACCTTGCTGTTACCCTCTGTAATGACAAGGAGGAGATCATGGCCCATGGCATCTTCTTAGACTACCCCAACTGGAATGTTGCCAAGCAGGACAACTGGGTGTCCGTGTTCGAGGAGCTTGACAATGAAATCCCGTGCACACCTCTGAATACACTGTTTATGCACTTCTTCGTGGCTGTGGACGAGTATGCCACTGGCTGCCTCAAAGAGATCATTCGGACTGTGTTCAAGGCAGTGCCAGAACTATACTTCATATTCCTTATAGTGCCAACATATGTGAGCCTAGGTTCAACTCTGATAACTGTGTTTGACCTAGTGGGGAACGTTCCATGTCTGACCTATGATGAAGATTTTGCAGTACACATATGTCACAGGCATGACCACTACCCTCAGCTGCATATTCGCAAAGCCAGGTACCGTTGGCAAAGTGCCTGTGTGATGTAAACTTCATGGACGGTCATCTTTATAAGGAACTCCCCCCCTTTAGATATTCAAGGCAGGGTTTCTCTGTGTAGCCTTTGCTGTCCTGCAACTCTTTCTGTAGACCAGTCTAGCTTTGAACTCACAAAGATCTGCCTGCCTCTGCCTCCCAACGTTCTGGGATTAAAGGCATGTGGCCATCACCACCCAGCTATAAGAGACTTTTTAATCAGTCAGTTAGATTAAATTTTTGTGATACTCATAACATTCATTTGGCGATTCCTAGCATCTCCCTAGATGGCGTGATTACCAAGACTATCCGGTTCTGTGTAGCTGGGGACTTACGCATTTACTACCAGGGGCTTCTAAAATAGCCCTTAATCCCGCAGCAAGTAAGAAAACTCTCAAATAAAACAAACTTGAAAATGAAAAAAAAAAAGAGTTTATAGAATGCATGCAAATTCAAATGTCATCACATATTTTTGGTGGAAGGACAATGGGTCAGTATCCTTTATTCAAGGCGTAGCTTACTGGAGGCCATTTTAGAACCACTGCAGTGGGGGTGCAGAGCACCTGCTGATTTCAAGATAGGAACGTGGCTCTTTCTCAAATGAAGAAGTGGCATTGATGGCCTATAGTGAAGGAAAGGACACTTTCCAATGGAGAAAAAGCAAGCAACAGCTGTGGTGGTGAGCACTTACCTAAGGTAGAAGGCATGATGGTAGGGGGCTCGGGATCCCACCTCTCTGCTGATACCAGAAAGGTAGCACAAGAGGAAGTCCAAGAAGCTTCCTTAGCACTATCTTGTTTGTGTGGAGTAGCCTTACCTCTTCCCGGCCACTCTGGGAAACCATGAGGCCAGCGCTGTTCTACAGATGAGGACATTTTGTTGGAGGGGAAGGAGCTCCAGGTCAGTTGTTTGTCTCTGATTCCTGGGGCTGTGTTTGGTGCATTTAAAACGGCATGTTGTCACAGGAGCACTAAAACAGGTTTCTGCTCACAATGTAATGGTTTAGAAAAAACAGCAGCACTGTTCCCCAAGGGGATGCAGCTGGCAGCAAGAGCCAAGGGAGGCTTCTGTGGGTCCCAGGTAGTGGGAGGCAGTGGGTGAGAGACGCGGGTAGGCAAGGCAGCTTGAGGGTGAGAGAGGATAGACACCATGCAGAGTAAGTGGGTATAGTTTATTTAGTGGGTAACGGAAGGGAAGGGGAAAAGGGAGAGGGAAGGGGGGGGGGATGGAAAGAGAGAGAAGATGTGGGGAGAGGAGGAGAGGCCGCAGCCACTTCTTCCAAAGAGAAACAGGGCAGAGAGAGACTGCAGGCTGGAAGTGGAAGAAAGATCCACTAGGTGGAAGGGGGAGTGGGCGGGGCTTGTCTCTTAAAGGGACAGGACAGACCATTGCACCATTGAGCTTCAATTTTCACAAAACTGTTATTTTAATTCATAAAAGCATTTGTTTTCTTATTTTTGTGTTTATGTGTGCACAGTGCCCTCCCCTATGCACCCCCCCATATTCTCTTAAGACAACATCTCTTATTGAATCCAGAACTTGGGATCTTCTCAACTCTGCTGGCAGATAGCAAGCCCTAGTGGGATCCTCCTGTCTCCACCACTGCCCTCCTCCACCACAGAGGTTCAGGTGTCCACTGCCATGGCATTACAAGTCGTGCTGAGCATCTGAACTCAAGTCCTGTGAACCATCTCTCAGTTTTCCACAACTCTTTTTAAATGTAACACTGTATTTCCTGGTGGGGGGAACCAGCGGCCTGTTCTTGGTTCCTGAGGTGTTGCCTGGGACACCAGTGAGGCTTGTGTGTAAGCACTTTCTGTCAGAAAGGGTGGTCTTCTTACCTTACATTTCTACTGTGAAACTGTATATGTAGTGTGTAGTTATTGGAGTGTTGTTTTTAGCTTACTAAAAATGTAGATAGCCTAAGATCTGGGCATGATGGAACACACCTATAATCCTAGCATTCAGGAGGTGGAGATGAAAGACCCCCGGTGTAGAGAGACTCTCACTCAAGTCTCAGGATAACACAACACCCCTCTTCCTCCCCCCCCCCCCCCAGTAACTCATGAAAGACTGTCCTTGCTGCAATCACACGAGGTTAATTTGACAGGACAGGAACCAGTGCACTGGGGCCGAGACTCATAACCCACACAGGGGAGGAGTTCGATCTCGAATAACTGGGAGAAGGGTTTTTTAAGGGAAGAAACCACAACCCAATAATCCAAAGGGAGTGGGGGGGGCGTCATTGAAAATTCCAAAAATACCAATGATAAAGTAACTCCCTGTTTCTCAAGATTATAATCAGCTAGTTCCTGAAACAGAGTATTCCAAAAATACCAGTGATAATCACAAGAGGGTAACTCAGGATTATTCTCAAGATTATAATTTAACTTTATCTTCAGCTAGTTCCTGAAACAGAGTCACTGAACCTAGATTTTTGGCTCTATTTTTCCTGCTAGAGGGGTCTGGATTTATCCAGGTCTTTCAGAGACAGGAGTATTGAATTTAAACCAGCTTGGGCTTCATTCTGGATATAGGGAGACCCTGTGCCAAAAACCAAACTCCCAATCCTGATCAATCAAACCAAATTGAAATTACAGCTTCCCAGATATCAACATAAACCGCCGACCCAAATTCAATTATGGCAAAGGTGGACAACACATTTAAAGGTGTTATGAGTGTTGCTATCATGTGACAAATTTTAATTCATGAATTAAATAATCTTGAATTAGCTCTTCCAAGAACATACGGAATTACTTTTCTCTTTACTTAACAGATTTGCACCAAGTATATCCCACACCTGCCAGCTTGCCATTCCTGCAAATGGCAGAGAAGCCACACCATACGGTTTCCCCTATGCTCCTCTCTCTGAGATCCCTACTTCCACCCTTAAACATCAACAAAAGTCCTTATGGTTTCAGCAAATAAATTTTGGAGGAACGAAAATACCCATTCTCTTATAATCCTCTAGGTGGAGCCAGAGATTCCAATGGCACCTTTCTGGTGCAACTTTTGACCTTTGCCTTAACCTGGACGATCTTGAGATCTAGTCAACAGTGTTACTGGCCTCTTTCTCAGCTCTAAAGTGCCACACCAACCCCAGGAGATTCTGTGTGACAAGTTCCACAGACTGAGGCATTACACTCCAAAGGGAGGAGGTCTCCTGGAACCGGTTGTGGAACTGTCTAGCCAGAGAAAATATATTGAGCCGAAGTTCTCACGGCAGTTTGCTTTATCTTCTTCTATTCCTTTTCTATATTTATGAGATGTTATTGATAGCCTGGACCGAGATTCTAAGTTGGAAAACTGGATAAGAAGCCACCCCTTGAAATGGGGTTATTGGTCTCTTCTCTGAGAGATTTAACGCTTTGCTTCATAATCATTTATATAACTACAAAATAATACTTTGATAGAATTTCTTCCCAACTATATATGAACTTGTTTGGCTGTGTGTGTGTAGATGAGGTTGGCTCTGACATTGTGGTATAGAAAGCATTGTTTAAGTATAGTTTTAAATTGAACTTTGAGGATTTTTAATAAGACAGAAGCTAGATGTTAGATAAGGATTGTTCATGGAAATTTATTAACTTGATCAGGACCTAGGGGTCATAACCAAGTGCCCTTGAAGACTTTTTGAACTCGCTCTTGAAAGTTTGCCATTAACTATAAATGATTTGTGTATTTGTTCTGTTTAGTGATTATGATGTTATCTGTTCCATTCGTAATTGATTCTTTGGACTCGCTGTCTAGGAAATGTAATACCTGACTGATTTTGTGCTTTCTTGTGCCAGATGATTATGATCATCATTCTTTGTGATTGCTTCACTGGACACGTCTTTTAGAATTGTAATACCTGTTCTTCTTGTATAAAAACCCCTGCTTGAGAGCTGCAAAATACACTCAGATTCACACTGCCTCTGTGTTTGTTTCTGTTTGTCACCGCCCAATCCTTACCCACCTGGTCTTCCAGGAACCACGTCCCAGGAAACCCCACACCTGGCTGGGGTTGTCAGTGGCACTAAAGCAAAGGCTTTTATGTCCTCACATGCTCCATGTGCACAAAGTATGCCTTAAAAGCATTTCTCATTGAAGGCACAGAACTTCCTAAACCATGTTTTACCTCCAACATCTACTACCTTTGAAAATGTCATACATGACTAACAAAACAGATTGGGAAATCTTACATGACACGCTTCTGGCAGTTTCTGCTGACTGTTTTGGAGGTGCTTTCTCAATTTCCTTTTTCTCTGTGCGCCATCTGCTGAAGTACCTTAGGGGAAACCCTGTTTTTGAAGATTTTTTTCTTCTCGTTTGGCTCTCTTACACCGGACACTTACTGATCTTATGGGACTAGGTCAGATGTCAAGTTGTAAACGTTTCTGAAGGCGAAGCCATAGAAGAGGAGCCTGACTCTCCTGACACACACAATGTGGCTAGAGGAACCTCAAAGGCAACGTGAGTCTCTTTCTTTCCTTTACCTCCTTCTCTCTTCCTCCTCCTTCAAGACAAAGTCTTGCTATGTTCTACAGGCTAGCCTTCTGTGCCGCCTGGGTTGGCCTCCAGCTGGATCTTCTTGTTTCCAGCTTCTGAAGGCTGGGGCTATAGGTGATGTTCTATTGAGCCCAGCCCCTTTCACATTAACTAGATAGATGTATTTATGACTATGACTTTAAAATGTGAACTAAAAAAAAAAAAAAAGATGACGGGGATGAGAGCAAAATGAGGATGGCCTTGCCAAAGAGAAAGGACTTAGCTAAATCCTAATAAGTTGTGTAACAGATATAAAATCAGATCAAACCAAGGGAAGAGATAAAGTGTATTAACAATGGGATAAAAAGGAAAGGAGAATTAATTAAATACTTTGGAAGATTACTTTCAAGGGAACGGAGAGCTATAGAAAACACTTAGACATAGGCTCATGATATGCCAGAGGCTTTATCTAGTTTCCTGTCTAAGTTAAGGGATATTCCCGGATTTGCACAGTGAGACTGTTAAATAATACTTTATTCTGTTAATTATAATATACTATATAATAAGCAAGATATAGCATCTTCTGAATATGGCATGGCCATCTCAGCCATGAGCTCACAGTAGCTATGGTGCCTGCATAGGACCAGTCAGTATTCCAGCAGACAGCAATCAGTGGACTCAGTGGATTACACAAACAGAAAGAACACCAGCAACAAAAAAGCAGAGACCATGAATGGGGAAGCGAGAACATGCTGGGGGTGCCAGGGGATGGGAGTGTGAGGGCGAGAGGGGACTCAGGATGGGTATGATCACGATACATTGCTGAGATGTGCGAAAGTATCAAAGAATAAATAAAAGATGTTCTAGTCACCGAAAGAAATGTACAACAAATTGTAAAAATGTTTAAACTTTAAATCTTGCTTAAAATCTCATCAGTTTGTTACAGCTGACTTCAACAGGACCACACTGTACTGCAGTCCTGATAAACACTTTTTTTTTTTTTTTTTTTTTGCTTGCTTATGTTTGGTTTTGGCTTTGTACTGGGGACTGGGAGCAGTGTCCCCTGCATGCTGGGGAAATAAGTACTCTACCCCTGAGGTACACCCAGCCCTTTCTTCACTTTTAATTTCTACGCAGAATCTTGCTGGGTTTTGTGGGCTTGCCTTGAACTCCCTCCGTACCCCAGGCAGGCCTTGAATTTAATTTAGTCCTTCCCTCACCTCCTGAATAGTTGGGACTACATGCCTGTTATACCAGACCTGGCAGAAAAAAAAAAAAAAAAAACACTGCTAGGAATACCATTCTGTACAAATAAATGCAGCCCTTTGTGTGGCATAGAGTTCTAGACTGAAGTTGGCGCAGCAAATGCAATGCATTTAAGGCTGGGTAAATGCTGGGCCATGGAGGTGGCTCGGTAGATGAAGGCACTTGCTGTCAAGTCTGAGGATCTACATGGTGGAGGGAGAGAACCGGCTCCGCTAAGTTGTCTTCTGATTTCCATGCATGCACCATGGCATGTGCATACACACAAGTAAATAAATAAATAAATAAATAAATAAATAAATAAAGGAAATCGATGGTGCTTCTCGGGGGCTTTTCTCGGGGGCTAGCCTCAGCAGCATAGCCATCTCCTCTCTTGAGTGCATGCTCTCAATGTGCTTTTGGGATCAATGTGAAAAACATTGCCACATATTTTAGTTCTCCAATGGAACAAACCTTCATTCGTTTAATGATTATTTATAATCTGAGCAGATTAAATATACTGCTCATAATTTTGCTCAAATTTTGAATTGAATTTAGAATTCTTTATATGTGTGTATATATGTGTGTGTGCATGTTTTATGTTATTTATGTTATATAAAAGCTTTCATTTTTATGGCTTTTGTTTTTGTGTTCTGCTCAAAAAACCTTTCTTTTTAAAAACAAGTTTGTATTTTTCTTTGTTATTTACTAGCAGACCCTAAGATTGGTTTATTCACAGGACGTGTTTAAGTCTCTCGTGCGCCTAAATTACCTTCTGCACTCTCGCACTGAGCCTGCTGCTTGATAATCTTGGCTTCCCTCGCGGCAGAGAGGAAACTAATCTGTTTTTCTTTTCGTTCTAGCCAAAGGTGCTCGACACCCCCAGCTGATCCCTTGGGTCCTCGCTGTTGTTTTCATCTCATTTCTCAGTGCTTGCTTTATCGCAAATTGTTTGGGTAAGTTACTAGGCAAACGAAGCTCATCCTGAATTATTTGCCCCAAGAACTTCCAATGTGCGCACCGGTAGCCTCCCTTTTCCTCAGTGTATCCACACACAGTGCTTTCGCTCTCTTGGGCGATGGTCAGAGCTGCACACTTGATTTTCTAATGTAGACGAGACTGCTCTGTTTGCTTCCAAAAACAGCACTTTGCTGAGGCACAATTGATATGTAAAAGCTCGATGCTTTAAATGTATCTACCTCAAGACTGGGGACAAATATGTATCCTTGAAGCCATCAGCACCACAGAAGTCTTGATCTATCTGATATCAAGGCTGCTATGACTGAATTAGTATGGTGTCGGTCTAAGACAAACAGGCTGCAGGAAAGCATTAACTCTGCATATGTATTTCCTTATCTAAAATAAAGGCGGATGTTTCAGAGTTATGGGGAAAGGAGAGCTTTGTTAAACTAATGTTTTAGACATCATTGATTATATTTATCAAGTGAAACTGGGTTCTTGCGTCATATCATATACAAGCCACAGCCCACTATAGTGAAAACAGAACTCTATAGGACAGAATTTTTGTACTGCATTTATGTGTGGAATGTAATCTGTCAAAACAACTGGGAACATGCCAGCAATATAATAGAAATGGACAGAGTCTTAAGATGGCATTCTAGAGAAGAGAAAATGAAAAGATTACAAATACACACCCTGGCAGCCGCCTTGGTTGTTAGGGAAGTACGACTGCCAGTCACGATGAGTCAACACTGCAAAACTCCAGGGATGCAATGACTAAACGCATACACCATCTGATGATGAAGACGTAGAACACCGGACCCGGGGTGCTTACCCTCAGGAGACAGCCCAACGCAGGGAGCCTGTTCAGAAAGCTTTCTCACATACCCCCACTTACCATGCCGGTGACTGCCACCAGCAACAGAAACAGGAGGACTTACTCTCCTTGGGATGCAAGGTCAACATTGCTCAGAGCAGCACAGTTCGGGTCAGCCCCATGCTGGATGCAGTGGATGCGCTAGAAGCCAGAGAGACCGAGGCATTTCACTGTGTGAAGACGGTAGATGACTTTCCAGCTATGAAAATGGATGAACTACAACTACGGGGGGCGGGGGGGGCAGCAATACTGTCTCAGAAACAATACTGAGCGGAAGTCAGCACCAAAGGATGCAGGCCACCTGAGTCCACTCATAGAGAATCCCAAAGAAAGTCATTCTGATCTATGGCGCCAGGCTGAAACTGTGAGGCAAAACCCAGGGTGAAGACTTTAAAAGTCACGAGATGGTTAACTGCAAAGAAAGAGTAGGCTGTGTTTGAGGGATGATGGCTATGTGGGGTGTTGGCAATGTTCTATTTCTTGAATCTGGCAGCCTTTGTCCAACGTGTTGACGTTATGCTAATTTACAAACCTGTACATTTCTTTTTAATTTTTAATATTAGTATTTGATTATATTTCAAATATTTGACATAGAGTAAAAATATCACTAAAGTCGTGAAGGTGATAAAGCTTTGTGGAGCTGGCCCACTGCTTGCCAGAACCCTCACTCTTGTGCACATTCCAATAGAATAAACCAAAAAGGGCAGGTACCTAGAATTCCAAAACTTCCAGTGTCAATCACAAAGTGGATAAAATGATTATAAAATATTGGCTTTCTGCAGTTGCTTTCAGTAAATTTACCTGGGGTCACAGAATGGGGTATAGGAAAGAAAAAAATGTGGGGACCTTAACTGTGAGGGAAGGAGAAGGGTGGGGAGATCAGCCCACTTTTCTAAATCGGTGGCCACACAGGGAATAACTGTTCGTCCTCCCGACAGTGACTCATCGTTACCTTTCACGCTGGAAGAGAAGAGGAGGAACGGTGATTTTCTCTGATTACCAAACAACGCTAACGTGTGCACGAGGGGAGCTGGAGTCCGGAGCTACAGGTAGCAGAGGAAACTTCTAATTTGCTTCTATTCAGCTGTTAAAGTGCGTCCCTAGTAAATCAGAAAGGACACATGAGAACTGGCTACAAGAATAAGTATTGGTCAATTGCTAAGATGCCTATTTCTTTATTGATATTCTGGAATTTATGAATTCACAGAGAATTAAGAAATGCTTGAGTTCTGCATATTCTTTGCTCTTCTTTCCAATAAAATATCCTGAAGAAGGCTTCGTTATAGGAACATTTGTTTACTTTTAAACTAAACACTCTCTCTCCTTCCTCCCTCCCTTCCCCTTATCAATTCCTTTCTTCCTTTCTTTACAAAGTATCAAACTCAGGACTTCTCACATTCTAGGAAAGTGAGCCACACTGCTAGCTCTGGAAATAGGTTAAATATGAAAGCAAATACAAGTAAGGACAGTGAACAACATTAATGTCTTCTGAGGCAATAATCGTAGTAGGATAAGCATTCCTCTGCCACAGATGAAATGTTCCTTTGTAACTAATGCGTATTCCAATTCTCACGCGAGGAGATACCTGGAACTGTTGCCCTGCTAGCTGGATAGCCTTCCAGTCCCACTGCTACCTTCCTCTTAACGACAACCAGACGTGGCCCGAGAGTGAGAGGAACTGCTCAGTGATGGGCGGTCACCTGGCAACCATCAGCACCGAAGCCGAGCAGGTCTGTATTGGCTCAGCTCACACTGACGCTCCGGGTTCATTATACCGCAGTGGCGAACGGAACCAAGAGTAACTTCAAAGAGGAAAAGGTGTATTTTGTCTTGCAGCTTACCGTCCATCATGGGGGGATTTCTGGGCAGGAATTTATGCAGAAACTTGAAGCAGAAACCAAGGAGGAACACTGCTTTCTGGCCCACTCAAGGCTCATACTTAGCTCGTTTTTTTTTTTTTTTTTTTTTTTTTTTTTTTTTTTTTTTCAGCTCAGGACCACCTACCCAGGAAATGGTCTGCCCACAGTAGGCTGGGGCCCTCCTATGCCAATTAACAATGCACACAGCCCCCACAGCCGTGCCCACAAGCCAGCCTGATTTGGATATCCCTCACCTGAGATTCCCTTTTCAAGTAATTCTAGGCTGTGTCGAGTAGACATCAAAAGCTAGCTAGGACCACCAGTCATTCTGTTGCCTTAAATTACTTTGTAGAGAAGAAATTTTTTTGGCTCCCTATGTATCTTTCCTTCATCATCTTCACCAGCCTGGAAATTTCTTTCTTCCTTTCCCACTCCTTCCCTTTCCTTTTCCCACTCCCTTCTTTTTTCACCTCTTTGATTTTCAACTGTGCTTTTCATAATAACAAAGTTCAACATATATTATAGAATAATTTACTCTTTCTCTGATAATAAAACACATGCGCCCAAAGAATTATATAGTACAATGCATATCTTTCATCTTTTAAAATTGAAAATAGGTTCCTCTCTCATGCAAAACATCCTGACCGCAGTTTTCCATCTTTCCACTGCTCCTAGCCCCCCCCCCAATAAATAATCTTTTCTCACCCTAGATCCATTCCCTCTTCAGAAAAAGAGCAAGTCTCCAAGAGATGACTGCCAAACAGGGCACAACAAATAGATACAATAAGACAAAGCAAAAGCCCTCATATCATCGAAGCTGGGCAGGTAACCCAATGGGAAGGAAAGAGTCTCAAGATCAAAAATCCACCCACTATCACTGATAGAAGTCTCACAAAAACATCAAACTAATAGCCATGGCATGTATACAGACCTGGTGCAGGCCCTGTAGAAATATATGGACTTATATGTTAGAAAGTTAGTCAGTTTCCTCTATGTGGCCAACTCTGGTCTTTCCAGACTTGAATGGTGTGTCATTTCTCCCAGAAACCCACCCTTTCCTACTCTGCTCTCTCCCGTTCATGATGTAGGCTTTGCTAAGGCTCTCTGAGCACATAGAGATGTCAGATTGACTCCAGTGACTGCAGTTCTTCCAATGACTCCCTCTTGATGGAAGGCTCAGGGCGCACTTTCGTTGCTTTTATATTTCCAATGTCCTGCGCAAAGCCAGGCATACAGTAGGACTCATGAGAACATACTAGGACATACAGTAGGACCCATGAGCATATAACTACATGAGTGGCTGATCAGGACTCAAGTGGCTTCTTATATATGGAAAATAGTTCTAATGTGTGGTACTAATTCTAAGTAAATGCATTTGAAGGTAAATTCAGTTTGTTTATTTATTTATTTAGATTTATTTATTTTGTATTACAGTATTATGTCTGCATGTATGCCTGCAGGTCAGAAGAGGGCACCAGACCTCATTACAGATGGTTCTGAGACACCATGTGGTTGCTGGGAATTGAACTCAGGACCTCTGGAAGAACAATCAGTGCTCTTAACCTCTGAACCATCTCTCCAGCCCCTAAATTCAGTTTATAAAGAGATGAAATTGCTCTCTTCGTGTGGTACATTTTGTATATGTGTTCTAACCCAGCTTTTACTTTTCCTTGGTCAACAGGATTTCCCTAGTGATTCTGTCTCCTTGACTTTGCCATGTATAGGTTTTCTAACTCTTCAAATGAAATAGAATAGAACGAAATAGCTAAACTACTTAAAAGTTTTTCCCTTTTATTGAAAATAGATTATTTACTCATACAATATATTCTTACAATTTCCACTCCCTCTAATCCTGCCAGTTCCTTCCCACCTCCCCTCCCCTCCTGATACACTCCTTTTCTGTCTCTTTTTAGAAAAGAACAGGATTCTAAGAAATAACAGCCCAACAAGATAAAACAAAATGTAATAAGATGTAGCAAAAACTATCATATCGGAGTCTGACACAGCAACCTAACAGTAGAAAAAGAATCCCAAGAGCAGGAAAAAGAAAGACCTACTTCTTCCTTTAGTCTGGAGTCCCATGAAAATACTAAGCTAGTAGCTATTATATGTATGTGGAGGACCTGGTGTAGACCCATATAGCCCCATATTTGCTACTTCAGCTCCTATAAGCTCATATGCACCTTGCCTAGTTGATTCAGAGAACCTTGTTCTCCTGGTGTCTTCCTCTGGCTCTTATAACCTTTCCACCTCTCTTCTGTGGGATTCCATGGGCTCTGACAGAAGGGGTTTGATGAAGACCTCCAATTTAGATTCTCTCTCTCTCTCTCCATAATGTCTGGCTGTGGGTTTCTGCATCTGTTCCCATCTGCTGCTAGAGGAAACCTATCTGATGATGACTGGATAAGACACTGATACTGTGATATAGCACAGTATCATTAGGAACCATTTTATTGATTTTTTTAAAAGACCAGTAGTGTTTGATTTTACCCTAGTACTCTTGGCTATCTAATTCTTAGTTACCCAAGCAGTGTTGAGTCCGGTTATATTAGCTCATAATTCTTGTCTATGTTAGCAATGTAGCTTGGTACCTTTTTCGGCAAGGCATTCACATCTTGCTTCCTCTGCAGCGGGGTCACAACTGCAGACTAAAACTTCCCTCTTCCCATAATTCTCATTGTCCCGCCTCTACTTCCTGCCTGGTCACCCCACCTCTACTTCCTGCCTAGTCACCCCACCTATACTTTCTTCCTGGCTACTGGCTAATCAGCATTTATTAAACAAGTACAAGAAACAAATCTTTACAGGGTAAAACCATTGTCCCTCAGCACAGTGGACTTGTCAAAAGATGCAGGTTTTGGCGAGATCCCTCTGCTACTTTAAGCAGATTTGAGAATAAACTTATCTGATATTGTGATGTTTATGCCTAACCCATGATCTTACTGACCTTTTTGCTCCTTATCAGCCTAGTGACGTCACCCAAGAGCGCTTACCAAAACATGTACATTTTGTATGCAGAACTTTGTGATTCAGCATTTGGACAGACGATTTCCCTATTTCCTGGGACTTACTGATGAGAACACAGAAGGCCTATGGCAGTGGGTGGACCAGACACCATTTAATCCACACATGGCGTGAGTATTTTGCTTGGGGCTAAACAGTATTTAAGGGCAAAGGTGCAAAGAGTAGTCAAGGAGAACTCATTTTAAAACAGGGTTGTGGTGATATTTTGTTTATGCTATAACAAAGCTTGCCTGAAGATCAGAGTGCAGAGCTAAGCCACTAGTTAGCCATAGAGGCCAGACAGTGGTGGCACACACCTTCCATCCCAGCACGTGGGAGACAGAGGTAGATGGATCTCTGTGCGTTCAAGGCCTCCATGAGCTACACAAAATTGAATCTGTCTAAAAGAGAAACAGAGCTCATACAAAGGTGATTCTAGCACTTTGGATCCCATTCCTTTAATCCCAGCATTAGGGAGGTGGAGACAGAAATGATATGGTTAGACGGAGAGAGGAGGAGACAGGAGCTCACAGCAGTCTGACGATGCAGTCTAAGCATGTAGTCTGAGGATTCGTAGGGACAGAATCGTCCTTTTTGTCTGAGCATTGGTAGAGGTAAGAACCCTAGTGACCGCTCTGCCTCTCTGATCCTTCAGCTTTCACCCTTTGATAGCTGACTCTGAGTGTTTATTATTAAGACCAATTAGAATCCGTGCCACATAGGGAACACCTATGTAAGTGCTTACTCAGTAGAGGATCAGCAGTTGAGCAGTCCCAGCATGCTCTGTTCCCACCGCACAGCAGCCCTGACTTTAGCAAAATCCGCAGAACCGTGTTTGCACACTGATTGCCCAGTGTTGAAAGAACAGACAGCATGGGAGCAATGTGAAAAGGGTTGAAGATTATAGTTTTGATCAGCAATACTATAGGAGCTAAAATTACTTTTGAAAGAGTTTTAACCTGCTTGTTTTCCTCCTTGAAACCAGTATTGTATATTATAAATATAATAGAAAACCACAAGTATAACTTAAGCTTCCCTAGCAGTAATGCTAAGAAAGTAAGAAGATGTTAGACATGGTGACACACACAAATAATCCTCATCATGACATGGAATAGCAGGGCTGATAGTTTGAGGCAACCCTGGGCTACATGGGGAATCCTAGGGAGGCTGTAGCTACACAGTGAGACCATGTTTCAAACGGAAAAAACAACCAGACAAATCAACACAGAGAGAGAGAGAGAGAGAGAGAGAGAGAGAGAGAGAGAGAGAGAGAGAGAGAGAGGGGGGGGGNGAGAGAGAGAGAGAGAGAGAGAGAGAGAGAGAGAGAGAGAGAGAGAGAGAGAGAGAGTTGTGGGGAGTTCTAGGGAGGCCATAGCTACATAGCGAGGTCATGTTTCAAACAAGGAAACAACAAATCAACACGTACACACCAAAAAATAAAAAAAGGAAAAACTGGTAAAATTTATGGTAATAAGATAGATAGATAGATAGATAGATCGATAGATAGATAGATAGATAGATAGATTGGTTGATTTTCAAGTCAGGGTTTCTCTGTGTACAACCCTGACTGTCCTGGAACTCACTTTGTAGACAAGACTGACTTTGAACTCAGAGATCTGCCTGCTTCTGGTTCTCTAGTACTGGGATTAAGGGCATGTGCCACCACCTCCCAGTTTATTAATAATGTATTTGACATAGTACAGCCATGTGCACTTAACACTTAAAAGACATCTCAGTGTGGAGAAGCCACATTTCTTTCTTTCTCTTTTAAAATTAGTTTGTTTTTTAATTTGAGACTCTCTTAAAATTGACTCTCCTCCTCCCAGCAGGTATCAGTTCCCAAGACTAGCAAGGGGACTCCCATCTCCATTCTCCGTGCTGGGGTCTGAGACACCTTGAGCCTGTGCAAGGTTTGCACTCACTGCCATAATCACTGTGAGCTCATATGTGCAGTGGTCATGCTGTGTCTGGAGGACTCTATTTCCTGGCAGTCACCCAGCTCCCCCAGCTCTATCGCTTTATCCACCAAGATCCCTGAACGTTGGGAGGAGCAGATGTGGTAACATGTCCCAGTTAGAGCTAAGCGTTTAGAACCTTGGCCAGCTGTGGGTCTCTGTTAATCTTCATCTACTATAAACAGAAGCGTCTCTGATGAAGACAGAGAGATGCACGGATCTATGGGTATAATAAGCCATTAGGAGTTAGTCTAGTACTGTCTACTATAACAGACTAATGGTGCAGGTTCTCCCTAAGACCTGTACCACAAATTCTTGGGCTGACAGTGGTGCCAGATATGGACTCCACCCTGTGGTGCTGGACTTAAATCCAATAAGAACGTTGGTTACCCCTTTAATGTTCGCGTCACTATAGCAACAGTGGTTGTGTATTGAAAGTCATTTCAGCTTGCCCAGCGCAGGGTCAAGATTGATGAGTCCCTTTTCCTGCTGGTAGCATTCCCAGCACAGTCAGCTCTATGAAAGCTAGTCCACAGTAATGAGGCTTCCAGTAGCATCAGCATCCTTTCTCTGACTCAAGTCTGTGTTATCTTTAGCAGTGGGGTCACACTGTCAATTTCTGGAGGGTGATGACTAACACTGGTAATAAACAGTAATATTTAGGGGTCTATTGGACTCACTGGCTAACAAATCCAAAGGAGGTAAACCAGGCTGTCATCTGTCTGTCACTCAGGATGATTGTTTCCAGCTGCGTCCTATACATTTCTTAATTTAATTTTTGTTAACAGCTGAATATCTTATGGTGTAAATATACCATATTTTCATAATCCATCTCTCAACTGATGGGTATTTAGACTATTTCCGTTTCCTGACTATTATGAAAGGTGCAGCAATGAACATGTATCTGTCAGATGTGTAGATGATCAATATCCTCTTCCCTTCTTAGGCTGCCTCTCTACTTAAACTGTAGTGTTCTTTGGTTTACAGAACCATTAAGTCCCATTTATTAGTATTGGTCTTAATCCATTTCCCACTGGGGTCCTGTTCAGAAAATCCTGTGCCCATGACTTCAAGAGCATCCCTACTTTTTCCTCTATCAGATTCAGGGATTCAGGTTTTATCTGAGGCACTTGATTCATCTAGAATTGAGTTTCATGAGGTGAGAGGTAAGGATCCAGTTTCATTGTTTTACAGTTAGCTATCCGGTTCTTCCTGCACCATTTGTTGAAGATGCTCTTTTCTCCCATCTCCCTTGTTGGCATCACTGTAAAAAGTCAGATAGATAAAGGAATGCAGACTTATGGCTCCTCAGTTCTATTCCATTGATCCGTGAGTCTGTTTTTATGCCAGTGTCATTCCTGTGTATCCCTGGCTGTCTTGGCACTCACTCTGTAGACCATGCTGGCCTTGAACTCAGAGATCTACTACATACCTCTGCCTCTGGAGTGTTGGGATTAAAGACATGTGCTACCACTGCTGGGGTTGGAAGCAACATTTCAAATGTTCAATAGCTACATCTGGCCGGTGCCTCTTGTCCTGCAGCTTCAGCTCTGTTTCATCACTTGCCCTATTGTTCTCTCTCCCTCCCCCTCCCCCTCTCCCCCTCTCCCCCTCTTCCCCTCTCCCTCCCTCTCCCCCTCCCTCCCTTTCCCTTTCCCCCTCCCCCTCCCCCCCCCTCTCTCTCTGTCTCTCTCTCTCTCTCTCTCCCTCTCTCTCTCCCTCCCCCCCCTCT